GAAACCTGCACAGACACAGGGAGAATATTCAAACTCCACAGAGAAAGGCCCTGTATGGAACGCGAACCCAGGACCTTGTTACTGCAAAGCACAACCAAGGTTATCTGTAAGTTGCCTTGGTATGTAACATTTAGGAAAATAGTCTGTTATTTACCATATGAGTCTGCAAAAGGCCACACACTCATCCCCCTCTTGCGCTGTTGCCATTTTTTTTACAAATAAATATAAACCAATGCAATTCTATTAAGTAACTATGTTTAAATTACAGTACTGTATTTAGCATGCTTTTTATGCCTATACCCCAATAAAAGTTAAAGTTGAGTTATTAAAACCATTTATAGCTTGGATACGTCAATATCATTACATTACAAAACTCAATTTTCTCATAATGGACACTGAAAATGAGGAAGTACTCTCTGCAGTCGTGTGACCTAATGTTGGCACTGTTACAGTAAGTCATGACAATTTATTGGTATAGAAGTCCATAATGGCTCAGATCAATGAGAGCATCAAGAGGTCTGCACCACTTTTAACACTACTATAAAGCAGTGGCGGAAAATGTGACTTCTGAAAAGATACAGGCAGACAACAGAAAGTAAACTAGTGCCACTCACCCAATAAAGGAAGAAAATTCTAAGATGTAACAGCAAGTGGCACGGCCTAATAAGAACCTTCAAAACTTCCGTGCTCCAGGACAAAGTTGATCATCAAAGGCAGTGAAAACAGTCTGACAAATAATGCCTATACGTCAGGAGAATAAAAGATACAATCAGGCTAGTGCCCTTCTCACCCTCCTCCTCCTTTGAGATCTCTGTGTTGGGAATAATATAAGGCTTGAGGGAGCCACTTGTGAGATAAAAGGCCACATCACAATGATGATCTCTATCGATCGGCAACCTTGGGCACACAGAGGAGGTCCGGCATTTGTCACGTCGGAGCTCAACCCAATAGCTGATCCACGGCGCACTCTGATGAATTGGCCCTGTTCTCCAAGTTTGTTTAATTGATGACGTTGTGTCTTGCAGGTGGACCACCAGTATGTTCTACGCATATATTGATTTGCCAAAACGCGTGTCTTCACTTCCTTCTGTGCAAAAGTTGGAGCAAGCTTGACTTAACCCGGAAAACAGCGAAAAGTGCGCCCTTCTGAGTGCTTACTTTTAACAAACACTTTGGAAAGGGCTTTGTCAGTTCAACATTCCAAACAACATCCAAGTGCAGCAGGCGAAGGAGAGGGAATTTATACGATTTTTCTCCCTCTTTCCTCTTTCTCTCAATTCTAAAGAGATGATTTGCTAGAAAATTATATATAGTGACATTTGATGACATTGAAGTTGAAATTAGATTAAGATTAAGAGATCCTGATTAAGGTATACTTAAAGTAGCAATATGCTAGACTTTCATATTGAGTCATCATTGAATGGCCCTAATCTGTCAAAAGGTATTCATAAATCATGGTCTTTTCCAAATCTTCATTATCTGATAACAGTGATATTTGATCTCACTGGTAAAGTACCATGTGGCCGCAGAACTAAAAAAAGGTCTCGTTGTGATTGTCAAATCAACAAAACAAGGAATGAAACAAAGATTTATCTTGGGGCCTTTTTGCAAAAAAGTGTTGGTTGTAGATTTGTTGTTGACAAAGCTTTTGTGTTTTCAGATATTATAGTCCCAGCTGGATTTGTGAGCATATCTGGCAACCTGAGTCAGGGAGAGTGGGAGAGACTGCAGTACCACTTTTGACCAGATTTCTACACAATGCTCCTTTAATATTCACTTCTCTTATGTTGTGTACTCCTCATTCCTGTTCTGTAACTTGTGAAGCAACACTGACATTTCCCCACTGTGGAACGAACACAGTTATTTTTCTCAATATTGAAATGAGATTATCCCAAACGTATTTTGCTGGTGAGATTGTGTTGCGTTCAGAAACTGTTGAACGGTCGGTGCACTGTAAAACACTAAGGAAAGAGTAAGAGCGAGCCAAGATGAGTGGCCAACAGCAGGGCTTCTGGAGTGCATACGTTTGTCACTTTGAGAGAGTGTATGAAAACTAACACTAGCCTCAGCGAGCTAAGCCTCCGCTCCAGTGCAGGAGGTACAGTCGGCTTTGGTTCATCAAAGGGAAATTCCAACCTTAATGGGGTTTCAAAGTTTCCAATGTGTCCCTGGTCTATCTGGAAAGTGCACGACTTAGCTCTCTTGCTAACCAATACTTGGCCTAATACATGTTTTATATATATTTATCTTGTTTAATTCAACAGAGGATGAAATGATATGAAAGCATCAGCTGGGAGGAGAGGTAGGCCATAACATTGAACAACACCGGGCAATTGAAACAGCCAAGGTATTGCAAAGAAAAGCAGAAAAATGTGCAAAAAGGACGACTTTTGGATTTAAAGCACCTATCTGAGATCCGCGCGCCCGGAGAATGGGATTGGATTACTGTCGGTTAGATTTACTCTTTGGGCTCTTGGCCACTACATCATCGTAGGGCCCCCTGCCTCTGGATCAATGGGGATATTTACTGCTCCTGTTTCAGGGAGACTTTCACAGTAGGCAGGGCATTAAACAAACAGCCAACAGCCCCGTTCCAATGATGGCCTGTCCACCACATGGGCCGTCCTGCTCCAGCACGGGGACAGAGGGGCGTTCGTATGGCGTGGGGACTGCACTTTAGGCAGGTTTATTGGGAAATGCTAGATGTGTTGTTTTTGATTACTGTTGCGTTGTCTTGAGAGAGTGCAGGAAGTGCAAGCAAAACAAGATGATTCCAAACAAGACATTTTGAGCTTTTGACACAAATCAAAATATATATAAAGTTCATTTCACAAGTCACACACTCATGTTGTTTATTATTATTAGAATGTTTTGTGTTTGTATTTTATTATTCATTATTATTAAATATGTGTTTTATTTGTATATTTGAATAGTTTATTATTATGTCATATCATTAAATAACACAGCATTAATATTATACAAAAATTATTATAAATTGTCAATTTTTTCTCACAATATCAATATACATCAGTACTATATTGTATGAATTATGGACCTACATTCGATAAACAGTCTCCATGCATACTCAATGCTGCTGCCAGCATTGAGTATGCTCTGCCATATCATTCTCTAAATGCCAGCACATGAGTGGAAACATGAGGGATACGCGTGTCCGCTCCTCCAGAGCTACATTTTTTTGCATTACCAGACAATTCCCCCGGTGTGAGCAGCTGACTGTGCAGTGTCAAACAATGCAGTTAAGACAGCAGCAATCATCCTGCATCTTCAGCAGACTCCTCACTAACATGCTACTCCTGTGTGTTACAGATATATGTGCGACAGATATATGGTGACATTAGCTGGTTTAACCTGTAATAAAGCTCCAATCCTCATTTTGACCAAGAAAACTGTGAACCGATGTCCCAAAACACCTATTCATCCATTTTTGTGATGTTTGTGTTTTGGCTCATTATAAAATCTACATCATCATTTATTGATCATATTTATTTCAGATGTTATTAAAAAGTAAAGCTCTTGTTGTAGTCAGCCATCATCTGAGAAAGTGTGTCAACAGAGGACATCCATTTATAGACGACTGAAGCCACACACATCTTGTTGTACTTTAGTCTGTTGTTAGTGTTTGTGTGTTTGAAACTGTGTGAACACATGTCGCACATGTGTGAAATATAAGCCGCTCTGACCAAATGCACAAAAATCACTTCACTGGTGCCATTTTCAACAACATTCTTTTTGCATTTGCGGGGAAAAAAGCATTTTATGTGTTTACTCTTAATTCATCTGAGCTCAAAACTACAGAGCTAAATGTGCAGGTGTCATTTCTTATTGTTTTGGAAAAGAAAGTGTTACAGTATGAGAAAGAAAGAACACATTTGAACGCAGCAAACAAGAGTTCTGTGTATTTTTTTTATTTACGAAGGTTTGATTGAGTGATGAGTTGAGCTCACATATGCAGACTGGCAGAGTGGTTTGCTCGGAACAATGATAACAGCACGTTATAGCTCAGTCAAAAAATGTTAACGGTAAGTCACAGACAAAACGTCTTTGTTTTAAAAAGTGCATTCACAAACATGACAAATACTTTCAACTCAGGATGTCTATCTTTATGTGATACAAAATATGCATACCTGTTTTAGATTTGTCTGTATTTCTATACATAGATATTTCTTCAAAATGATCATTACTTTTTTCTCTTTTTACAAAGGTTAAAAGCAGGGTTGTGGTCATAGCAGCTTCTTTCTCGTGTAACGACCGCCTTTCCACATAATATCCCAACAAAACCTATTAATTTTCCTTTTAGTAAAACTCAGTGAACATACCGTCTTTAGTGAAAGATATATCCCTCAGTGAAGCCTGCAGTCTAGAAAAAAATCGATCAATAAAATGCCTGGGCCTTTAAATATATTTGTGTATACCCGCTTTTTTGTCAATATCATAAATACTAAAGAAGACACAGGACAATATCATAAGACAATGCTGGGAGACTAAATGTAAAATAGTTCAAACATTATTTTTCAAGTTTTCTAGTTTATGAAAAAATCAAGCGAGCACAGAAACACTAAACATCAGTCATTTCTTCAGTCTTTTGACAGCTCTTTACATAAGCTTCATAAACCACAGAAAGAGGCTTAAAGCTTCCCCCGTATCTCTCTTGCCCCGCACAGATATGATGTTGTCCATTATCAGTGAAGCAGGACCCCAGTTTGGAAAAGGTTCAAAGCAGTCAAACATACCGGGAAAAACAGTACCATGCAAATCTTGCAAGACGGTGTATTCTCAAACGAGACAAAATATTCTTCATATACAGTATATCATTTAAGGAAGGAATGGGCGAAAGGCAAAGACTTCTAATCATTGCTAATTCTATGTTTCCAAAACCAAACAAAAATACCGTATTTCTCCTGTACACAGTATAGTATGACCGTCAGTCCCATCTGACCTTTAGTCTTTGCCCGACATTTTTCTTGGAATTATGTTCAAATTCAATTGATCCCAATTTCCTTGCTCTCCTCCATAAACCTGGAGAAGGGTCGACTTGCCCCGACCTCCAGAGTGGTCTTGTCCATAGCGGTCATGGGGGGGCTGCTGCCTGCGTGCATCGGCCCCAAAGAGCCCATCCCGGAGCCTCCGAGGCTCACGGGCAGCTGGGTGATGCCTCCGTTCTGGATCACAGAGATCTCATTGTTCTTCATGGCCAGGCCGTTGGTGATGGCGGCCGCGTACTGGTTCCAGAAGCCCGGGTCCACGTTCATGGCTCGAGCCGCTAAGTCTTTCTGAAAGATCTCACTGAACTTCATGGCATCACCGCCCAACAGCGCCATGGGGTTTTCCACAGAGAGACGCCGACCTCTGCGCGCTGGAGCGTTGTTCCACATGTGCGTGCCCATGTGGACCTAAGAAAACAAAGCAGAATATATTTTCAAAAAAAAAAGCCATTGTGGAAAACCTTATATGATTGCAAGTATTGATTTGAATATTGTACAACATTAATACATGCATTTAATATTTGTTTACCAACTTTGACATGCATTGTTTATCTCTTTGAACAGATTTGGTCAAGAATTGTCTTATTTTTTTTTTTTAATGCAAAGAGTGTGTTTACAACTGTTTTTGTAAAATTACTCTTCAGATTGATATAGAAAAGAAGCTTAATTTTATGTGATCCAATTGTGAATAAACATGTTTTTATTTTGTTTTATATTTCATTACCAATTTTCAGAAACGCTATTAGAAACTTTGCGAACTGACTATATCTATGAGAGAGAAAGAGAGAAGGAATGATAGAGAAAACTATTCCAGCTTCATATTAAATCTCTTTCCTCAGCTCCGTAAATGGACAATAGCTTAAGTACTTAATGATATAACTTAAAATGACCGTACCTTGAGGTTTCCTTTTGTGGTGAAGGCGCGTCCACAGATGGAGCAGGCAAAGGGCTTCTCTCCGGTGTGCGTGCGCTCGTGGATCTGCAGGGCACTGGCGGAGGAGAAGTTCTTCCCGCAGGAATGGCAGTTGTGCTGCTTGGGTGTGCGTCTGGGGGGAGGGGGGGCGAGCATGGGGGTGAGGCTGGAGCTCAGGCTGGAGCTCTGTGGGGGAGCGGCGTGGCCTTGCAGCCCCACGGCCAGGTGGGAGCCCTCACTCAGAGACTTCCCGTGGCCATTCATCTCCATTTTGATCATGTTGGAGGCGGTGCTGGCCAAACTGGGGGTGTTCAAACCTAGGAGACAAGTTCAAATGTTGATGACTAGAGTTTAAATTACAAATAAGGTATTATATCAAAACAATATTCTCAAAATCGCATTGTTTTTTTAAAGGGCAATGTAAAACTATTATACTTATTTTTTATTATTATTATTTTCAAGATAGAGATTTTATACTTGTTATTTGATGCTAGAGTTAGAGATTTTGTTTTATTTTAATTAGTATAGCTATTGTTCACTTATCTTGCTGTGTGCTCCTCTTTCCTACTGCTCTATAACTTGTAATGCAACACTGAAATTTCCCCACTGTGGGACGAATAAAGGATCTCTTAATTTCTGGCCTCTCAAAGACGCTGCATATTTTTTTATCCTTTTGCACACATGGGATGTTCAGCTTTATGGCGTAAATGTTTAAATGTTTCTTTAACTAATAAACCTGTACGAGCATATTGATTGCTTAGTTAACCAGAAAATATAGCATGATATCAGATAAATGAGCGAAAGTCCTGAAATATTATCCATAAACAGCAATCTGAAACTCATAAAATCATTTACTGTATGTTATAATGTTATAAATGATATATGGAGTACTGTATATAGTTTTGCCGCACTCACCTCTGTCTCTATTCAGGAACAGCATGTTGAAGTGGCTCTCCTCCTTGATAAAGTGCCTGCCAGGTTGAGTGGCAGTGAGGTCAAGGGCCCCAATGCCTTCCGTAGCAGCGAGCGGAGATGGCGTCTCAGATTTTTCTGACTTTACTGTTGCCAAGCTGCCTGTATAGTGCTCCGGACCCTCCTCTGCTGTCATGATGTTGCCATTGTTATTATTGTTCATTATAATTGGGGACTTGGACCGCTGGCTCTCCGAGTGGCTGTGCGCGGGGGACAAGTGCTGCATGGAGCCAGAGGAGTCTGACAAAGCCGGGCTCCCCAGGCTCTGACCTTCTGCGTCTCCCACTGCAGACAGAGAATCAGTGGCAAAGCAATCATTCTCCACTCCAAAGCTGTTGCTGCCATTCAGGGTTGGCTTCAGACCAGTTGTGTGGGTCATGTTGGCAATGGAGTCAATCATCTTCATCTGGTTCTCCATGGCAGCAATACTGGAGTTAATAGATGGAGGGGGGGAAATTCCAGGGGAATACGGTTTTGATACATCAACTACATCTACATCTTTTAAGTCAGGTTCATTGTCAATTGCTGCTTCCATTTCGTCCAGAAGGTCATCATCATAAGTACTCATTGCATCTAAGCTCTTTTCGTCATACATGTCAGTGTCCATGTCTTGAATGTTTTCTGAAACAGGGGTGTTTGGGATCTGCCCCCCCATGTGCATCCTGATGTGCTGCTGTAACACCACAGCATTGGTGAACTTTTTCTGACATATGGGACAGGAGTGCTGGACTCGGAGTGGCGGTTTAGATCTATGCACTCCAAAGTGGGTTTTCAGATTACCCTTGGTGGTAAATGCCCTTCCACATATCTTGCATTTGAAGGGCCTCTCTCCTGTATGAATTCTGTAATGCATCTTCAGAGCGCTCTGACAGCTCAGCACACGGTGACAGATAACACACTGGTTTGGGTCTGTCATCTTCTTGTCTATATTCTCAACAAGCTGCTGCAATTTGGATGTTTCCGAGGTTTGCATAGAATCTAAAAGGCCTCCAAAAGGAAACTTGGCCTTGAACTGGTCAGACAGCATAGGGAGAACAGGGTGGGTAACTGCGTTTGAGGCAGAGTTTGGACTGCCAATGGGCTCAGGGCCCTGGCCCCCACTGGTGGATGTGGTGGACGTTACAGCGGTTGACAGAAGCACTTGAGTGACCGTTGATGTAGTGGTGGTGTTGTCTACTGGACGAGTGGGGCAGCTTGGAGGCAGTAAAATGCCATCGGCTCTTAGGTGTGGGGCATCACTCCCAAAGTTGAGTTTTGGGGACGGTGAAGTAGTGGTCATACAAGTGTCATTAATAATGTTAGGAGAAAGGGATGCACACTCACTGGAGGGTGGAGAGGCTCTCTGTGGAGACCTGTTGAGTGGAGTAAGACTTGGAGAATCGCCAAAGCCCCCCATCATACTGGGCATAGTGGGAGGCAACTGCAGCCCTACAGATGTGGACACAGTGGGAAGGACAGGCTTGCTGTCTAACCATGTGGTGACAGGCTTTTCCGGGGGCAAAGACATGCCATATGGTATGCCTGAACTAGTGGGCACATTGTCCAGATATTCTGGCACAGGATAGGGGTTCATTTGAATGTGTGGGTATTTCTCTTTGTGTCTCTGGAAATGCACTTTGAGATTACCCTTGGTGGAGAAACGATTTCCACATATGTTGCATTTGAAGGGCCGCTCTCCAGTGTGGGAACGCAGGTGGATCTGTAAAGCACTGTCACTGCCAAACACCTTGGCGCAGAAACGACACTTATGCTTGAAAAAGGGGTCGTCAGAGCTGGGCTTAGTGTCAAATACAGACACATTTGGGGGCTTCCCTTTGCGGTGCTTCATCAGTGCAGAGAGAGGATCCAGAGCATTGGCTGTGGCTGCGATGCTCGCAAGTGGGTTAGGGAAGATAACACTGCTGGAAGAACTGTGAGGTATCAGTGGCATGTTAGAGGCAGAACTCAGGAGGCTGCTGTGGCTGAGTGATGGAGGAGTGCTGGAGTTCCTGGGTAGAGACACACTGTTACTGAGGCTGCTGGCTGTTATACTACTGCTGCTAATGTTTGTGACTGTGGACGAGCAGGAGGGCAGTAGAGACGACAGGCCAGCCGGAGGAGGAAACACGGGACTGTTAGAGGAAGTGTTGAGTATTGAAGAGTTGTTAGACATCTGACCACCACTTTGTGGTGTTTGGGAAAGAGCCCCCTCCATTGTAGAGGTCAGAGGTGATGGCCCTTGGCCATTAAGTGTGGCTGGCAACCTAACAGGCAGCTGATGGACAGGGGGAGTGATGAAGCTGTGTAGCTGCAGCTGACTGGGGAGGGGAGGAATGCAGGAGACGGAGGCCTGACTTGCAGATGTGTTGAGGTGGTTGAGCTGTGGCTGTGATGCAGACTGTCTGTTCATCAGAGCCACCTGACTGCGGATCTGTTCGATCAGCTGGAGCTGGTGAATCTGCTGCTGCTGCAGGGCCATCAGCTGGTCCAGGATCATGGGGATGGCCATAGTGGAGACACCAGTGCCTGCAGCTCTCACACTCTGTGAAAACTGTGCCACAGCCACGCGTGTGCCCTGCAGCGTCTCCAGAGTGACGTTGGTGCTGGGCATCGTGTACGCAGCGAGGCTGGAGGAAAGATCGCCAAGTGGAGGTAGAGGGGTATCGGGCTCAGGGGAAGTCATGTCTCCCTCCTCTGAATCCAGGCCCTTTTCAGGGCACAAGTCCAGCTCCATCTGTTCGTCCTCCTTGTCCAGGATATTGACCCCCTCTAAGGCCTCAGTGTCGGGCATGTCCTCCCTCTCGCCCACAGGGCTGTGGTTCCCCTCCCTGGGGTCCTCGCTGTCGTCCTGCTCACTGGAACAACTGGGGACAGGGGAGGTTTCCCCAGGGTACTCCAGGGAGGGGTTAGGGGTGTCTTCATTCTCATTCACTATGAGCACCAGTGGGTTCTTCGTACAGCTGTTTAAATGTTCACAGAAGTCAGCCCATTTGAAGAACTCAGCACAGCACTTCTCACACACATGCGTCTCCTCGCTGCCGCTGCGACTCTCATTGCCGCTGTCTGCGTCCTCCACCACCTCACCTCGACCTGAAGGGCAGAGGGTCCAGAGAGGGAGGGAGAGAAAAGAAAGAAGAATTCATGAATAAATAATCGATAAAGAATCCACACATATTTTGCACTGCAGACCTGCAAAGATTTAACCTTTGATTTTCCCCCTCTTTTAACATAACCAAAATCAATAGTCTTTTTATTTTTTTTACGCTGACCAAATTGCCATAGTTCACCAATTCTCAGGCCCAGCTCTGTGCGTTCACACCCACTCCATAGAGCAAGCTAATAATTTTCTTTGTGCAATCCATCAAATTATGAGGGCCTATCAATTGTGGATACAGCCGCTTAATGAAATTCCATAGACGCTATTGATTTCCAATATTTCATACAATTCACAGCTGCCTCATCTGTTGGGTACAAATCAGGACTTTGATGGCCACATTAGGATTCCCCTCTGCTATGAAAGCCATTTGCACCTGAATTGCAAAGACCTTTTTGAATTGCCAATGTAATATAGATTTAAATATAATGCCTCAATGCCAAGTATGTTTTTGAATGTAATTATTGATTGGTGTATTTCTGCACTAGTTAAAGACAGGTCAATGTTTTATCTACACAAAAATATAAATGTAAGTTTTTTGCTTTTTTTTCAAACCTTACCCATGTGCCATCTAAAAAGGGCAAATTATACACTGGTGCCATAGCAAACTCTCTGATTGGTTGCATATGTTTAATTACAGTTGTAAGAAGCCACTTCCTTTTCCACATCCAGGAGGAGACTTAATGTTAAAACTTTGGACAAGGCACAAGCTCCACCTGCATAAAACACATACTTTAAACACTTCAATTAACAATTCCGTGAGATTTTTAGCAATATATGTCACCGCAAGTATCTCTTTCGTTTAATTGTGTAGAATTTTTTTTGACTTAATTACCCATAAGTGCACTGAAGAATGTTTAGCCACAGATTATAATCTTGAAGTGCATATTATATCTGTGCACAAGGTATAGTTCGAGAAAAAATAAATTAGTTTTCAATTGATATTTAATATAACCTAAAATAAATCTGACTCTTGCATTATATGTCTATAAGTCACCTTTTTCCAGTGGGCGACAAAAAGCAATGACTCATACAGTGTCTTTTGAGTGAGCAACACATAAAACATTCATGCGTATTACACTGAGTCATTAGTGAAGAAATTTATCACTGCTGTAATTTCTTGCTGAAGGGGGCTTGAGCTCTCAGCCTGTGCAATCCAATTAATTATCTATAAGGCTTTGAGGATGCCATGTCATTAGGAGATTTTTCTTGAAAGTACTCAATGAAAAAAAAGAAATCTCATAATTATGTTCCAATTTCTTCTTTTAGGAAATGGCTGTAATTCCTCCTGAGGTCCTGAACAATAGTGACAAGTGACAAGCGGCCAGAGCGGGACACGTGACGCAGGCTCCTGAGGCAGCGGACAGCCGAGGGGGGAAAGGTCAGTGCGAACGAGTGGCGTTGTGTTGAGCTGATTAGTTATTAGAATGGTATTACTGTCAATCTCTTTTATTCATTCGTACAATTACAAGCTGGGGCCCTTGTATGGGGCTGACCTTGTGGACAAAAACAACACAGAGATATAGGGAAAATACTTCAGTGAGCAGAGAAAGTGATTTTATGGATATACTTGGATATAGATATTATACCATGCATGTGAAGCTTATATAAAAAACGCTATATAAGCCAAAAAAGCATTTGCTTCATCCAGGCTCTATTTCAAACGGGTTAATTTCTGCTTGTTTAATAGTTTTTAGTTTGTATCTTGTTTATTGTTTATAGTTTAATTTTGAATATGTTTGAAATAAAAAACTCACTTAATTACTATACAATATGTTATTATAAAAAAAACATGAAACCATTTTCCAAATCATTATTATAACATTACACCCATGCATCATTACACACGTATAATTCGGAAATAAAATAATGCGTTAAATGTCAACTTTTTCTTTTAACCCCAATAATGATAATTACAATTCCGTTTTATCTGATATTAATTAAATAAAAATCTTTAAACGATTTTAAATAATTTGTTTTACACACATTTGTTTTACACATAATATTTGACATGTTTAACATACATCAAATCAAAAGAACAGTTTTTTTTTTTTGTATCACAATATGCTCTAGGAAAACAAGCCGTATGTCTCCTGTTGCTTTGCGTATGTCTTTTCTCTAATGCACAAGTAACGGTGAAGTGGGTCAATGAGGAGATTGTGGACATTGAATCCCTGCGTTTCCTTATCATGCTCTGCAATCTTTGGCATGCTAACTGAAACCACTAATCTGACATAATATATCAGACCAGCTATTCATGCTTTCCACTATTCCACTGAGTGCCACAGTAAAGGCATTCACCAGGAATCAGCAGTTTACAAATCAACACATTCTTGACAAATTACTTCTTCTCGACAAGTTATGATACGGGTTTAATGTACGCCCGGAGACAACAGAAGGGGACACGAACAGCCAGGCACAGGCACAGGCTAATTAAGAATATATATCAAAAACTCATGTAGATTATACAAAACAATGAATTATTTGAATATGAAATAACGAGCCCGTGCATCCCGTCACTGTCAATGTGTTGAACAATTGAATACAATGTGGCTGCTTGTACAAGAATGTCATTGTCTGAAAGCTGCATCGTTTTGCATTACTCAGCTCGTGTGTGAGGGTGTGTGTGTGTGTGTGTGTTCCAAATCTATAGTCGCCAATGATTTCATGCACAGGAGCTGCAGAAGAGCGTGCGTAGTGTGTGAGCGTGTGTCATCTCTGCAAACCGTGGTATACAGTCATATCTGCAGCTACACACTCGGGCCTTTGTCGTTGGCTGCAGATGTTGTGCAGACAAAACATTAACGATTTGTTTGTGTAAGCATTCGCAATACAGGATTCAGTGACGGCATGCAGTCCAGATCGCTACGTCAACACACCCGGACAAGACTCTTTTCATTTTATATTCAAGTAATGCGAGAAAAGCAGCGTTACAATTGTATAGTGTTCTCTTCTTTTTAAAAACATATGTGTTTGTGTGTGATATTTGTCTGGTTTGTGTGAATTGTTGGTGGATCTACAGCACAGGGAAAGTTGTGGCTTCCAATCCAGCACTTTGTCTCTGTCCTGCTCTTGAAGAATAACTAACCAAGCATATATTATTCATATAAGTGGATTTTATACAACATCGTATGACAGTCGGTCTCTGCTCTCTTAACACTACTACACTACTATACTTGCTTTCTGATTGCAAAATATGCGAAATATCTTACAGCTACTACTTGCGAACTCCTCTTATAAATCTAAATGTTCTGTCCACACCCAATTGCCACTTATAGTTCCTGTGTTTACTGCATTGACTAATTAAAACACTGCCATATTCTAGTGGCTTTTCGGACATCTTTGGCAAAAACTCTGTGGGTGGTCCAAGTGTGAGCGCATTATGAAGTAAAATGAAAAATACTAGTATAGTAGTAGAAGTAGAAGTAGTGCACTTGAATTATGTTGTACTACCCAAACCGTAGGGCTTTACGAATGCATTATGGACAACACGAAAATGTTAAAACCGTGTATAAATTGAATAGGAAACGTAAAAAAGGGGATCTGAGCTACCACCAAAGCATCTGAAATGTCTTGTATGGTATATGGGCTCTTTAATCTCTGTTCCACACATGTTAAATGCTAAAGTTGTCCTCATTTCACAGGGCCAGGGCTGAGGCACACGTTCTAATTGTACACAAAACGCCACATCCATCGGTGCGACCTGCTGTCTGGGCCTGAGACAAAGGTTAAGTCAGCGGCTTAATAAACGCACTGTTAAAATCACCCCCCTCCTCTCTTTTCCTGTCCGAACACACACAACAGCACATCCACACTCCGGGGGGGCAGCGTCCGGAAGACCTGAGGGCCAGATAGAGTTCCAACCAAGGGATCCTGGCTACACTGTTTTACTTTGATCTGTGATTTACACGAATCAGGCTAAAAGATGATAGAAAATAAGATGATTCTTGGGAAACTAATGAGATTTGGCTGACTTAACAGACAGAAAAAAAAAGAAAAAAATGTGTACACAACATGTCATTGAAATTCTACTGTTTGAATTAATCATCTCTCCTTTGCACAATTTTGCCAATTCTTTATTTCTGGAAATTCTGAGAAAAATTAAATTAGTTATGATGGTATTTAATTTCAAGATATACACCCAGTGCAACAATCGTCAATTTTAAATATTTCCGCTATTCTGCTTTGACTTACACCTAACAAAACTTGTTATTTGTATACGCATGCAAACAAATCTCTTTTATAATATCGCTTTTATTATATACCAAAAAAACCTAATAAATTCCCCCTTTACTCTCGTAGCCCCTATTAAGCCTATGATTCATGGGCAGATTTCGCCTACATTTGTTGGAACTTCTGTATCCCTCGGACATCATGCGAGACCATTTGTCTGAGCCGAGCGATCAATAGTGTCATCGCTTGCTGTGGCAAAACGCGGCGATGGCAGCTACACAGAGCGACGAGGGTGGGCAGAATGTGGTCCTATAATGTGGCCCTTCTCTCTCTCTCTCTCTCTCTCTCTATCTTTGAGACATGAACACCTCCGAGGCAATGGGACCAAAGCTGCTGGTAAAGAACTAAATGTTATAACAGCAGATCCTCATGCCAAACCATAGAATCTCTTCTTCTTTCCCCATGTCTGCCTGCCCCACACAACAACTAGCTCTGTGTTTAACGGCCATAATGACATTCCATGGATACTTTGGCTCCACAGAAAAAAAAAAAAAATCACATTGACACAGTGAGCAGGCAATTGGAATAAAATGACAATGGGAAAAATAAACTTTATTGAAAAGACTAGTCGCCATATTTTAATTATTATTTTTTTTTTACATTTTTCATTTGGAGTTGCCTTTACATTATATAATCAATAACAATTACTCTTGATAATGAAATCTATTCCTTTGAAACGCTCTAATTCAAGTTCCGAGAGTTTTTGTAGGTGTCAATATTTTTTGTTCTTATTTTCTGAAGATTTTATGTAATTATGCATGAGTTCTACTATATTCTTCCAAATCACCCCATTACTGATTTTTTGAAGCATCCATTCATTTTACAAAGTTAAGAGGGGAAAAGGCTCTAGCTGCTTTAAATGCTCACAATGCTAAATGGAATGTAAAATAGCAGAGTTCTTGTTGTTTTCACTTGACATTCCTCCATCCTACAGGAGAGCAACCTGATGGATGCTGCGTATCTGCGTCTGGAATCTGAGGCATCTTGACACTGACAGCTGCAGCGTTCAAGTTCCAATGAGATTTCCCTCAGAAAATCAAGAGAAAAACGGACACAAAAAAAGAAGCAAGGAGTGATCAGTGAGTCTCGCCCTTCAAAGTAACATTTCCTCAAGCAAAAAGAGCAGTGCCCCGGAGATTACATCATGCTTTTCTATTTCCCGAAGAAGTGTGTGTGTGTGTAATGTGTGTGACATTGGATCTGTGCTGGACCACCACAAGAACTACAAATAATTTAGAAATAGAAAAAGGTGTGACAATTCTATTAGTATTAGTATATGCCATTTTCATTACAGTAACCCCTATTAGCATTACAAATAATAATAATATTAAATGTAAACTTCTGTTCACTATTACCAAGTGAATTGCAAATTGCATGTTGCATATTTTCAAAACAAAAAAAGGCAAAACATGGTTTGTAAAGCTGTCACGCAATTCCCATTATTCCGTCTTTGTTTTACCTTAGTTTGAAGAGTGTCCTGTTTTTTCAATGGAGATTGTCTTAGCGCTAAAAGCAGAGCACATGCAGAATAAGACGTGAATAGGTCCTTTTTAAATTCCACATGGCGAGGACGAGCTGTGTCACCCGGTCCTGTCCACATTGTGCGCGAATGAGAACAAATCAAGTGTGCCAAATTTATGTGAGGGTGGTAAACAAAAACATTTCCATGACAAAAACTAGGCTTCGACTTACAAGTGAAAGCGTTTTTTTCCTCCCGGAGAACACAGGCTGCACGGGGATAGACCAGCCGGGGGAAATGAAAATTAAAACGTGTAGCGATAATAATTATAAAAAGAGCTTTGCGTGTCTCTGTCTCATATCTAAACTGCCATATTTTGACGTTTAGTGAAATAATAAATATATTGTGAGTTCAAGTTGCGTAAATCGTGCACTTAAAGGAAAACCAGTCCCAAGTGTAAGCGCGTCTTTTTCTCTTTTACAGAACGCGGCCTCATAAAAGGCCTCATACAATATCATATTCATATCGCGGCCTTCTGAAATTTCATATTTTCATATTTCAGATTCATAACATTTTAATCACAGAATAACACTGAAAGGCGTACACGGACAGTGATGCAAGGGGATTAGATCAATAAGATATACCAAATAAAACCATTTCAAAGAAATATTAATTTATCAAATTCCCTCTTTTAGTTGAAGTGAATAAGATGGCAGACCGGCCTATGTGTAGAACCTGTAAAAGAAAGTCAGCAATGCCTTGAAAATAGGTAAATCGTTTTCCAACAAACATGTCTAAATCCGAGAGCAGACTCTGCATGAGCCCAGTCCCGTCCCGGAGCACTCACCGTGTTCGGAGATCACTCCTGTCAGCGCGGGCTCCTCGTCAGACTTGAGGTGCTGAGGTTTAGCTTGCTTGCGTCTGGACATGCTGCAAATGATGCTGCTGGCGACGATGGTACTGTGGGTGTTTTGGCGCTCCGGGATGTGCCCGCGTTGAGCAGATACATCAGCGAAGAGAAGAGAGGATCAAACACGCACTGAAGTTGAGAGGAGTGTGCGCACGGCAGGACGGGGACGAATCATAAGTCGAAATTAGTTGTTGGTCTTCACTCGCTGATGGTCGTCGGATTGCGCATGTCGCTATAATAATTATGATAGTGAATAATGCCAGGCGATTAATGGCACTGTGTGAAGGTGGGGAGGGTTGGCTGCAGTCCAGCGGACGCGCATTGGATATGGTAATGAGGGACGGACTTAGCAATTAGCCGCTTCACTCTCAGACTTTATCCGTGTCTTTTTCTCTTTCCTCCCCTGCCTTCCCCCGCCTCACAACAACTTGACACAAAAGCGAGCCTCTTCTTCTTGAAGCAGGCGCTGGGGGGTCTACAGGGGACCTCCAGCCTCCGCACCTCTCTGCTCTCTCTCCTCTTTTCTACCAGCGGAGGATTCACCGTAGGCTGGCTGTCATCTTCATCTCTTTCTCGCCTTCAAAACTTCATATTTTTCAGGCTACTTACTCTGCGCCTGTTTAGCTCTGCGCCGCGTAAAAGTGGATGCGTAAACTTCACCAAAAAAAAAAAGTTCGACTCTTGAAACGCGGGTGCTGTCTCCAAACTTATACGCTCAATGTCTCCAAGATATGGCGTGTTTCAAGTGTCCCATGAGGAGGAAAAGTGGTGTATTCTGAGGTGGAGTCCCCGGTCTGTCTCTGTCTCTCTGTGGCGTCCCAGCTGCTGCGCTTTCGCTTCGTGCACTTTCTAAACTAAAACAAACACAAAGTCGTTTTTTTTTATCTTCGGAGGTTCTCGTCGGGCACTCGGGCGCGCACGGATGTGGTCAGACAGGCGCTCTCTGTGCCCGGGGGTCCGCTCTCCGTGTCCGCGGTGTGTGTGGAGGAGAAGGGCAGTGCGCTCTGTCTGACTTAACCCCGTGACAGAGCAGCGGAGGAAAGGTTCAGCCCATTGCTCTGAGCCACCACTAGGATGTAGCACCACGTTACTGTTACAATGGGACGTCTTCTGAGGCACACACACACACACACACGCACGCACACACTCTTGCACACACACGCACGCACAGGCACACATTATAACAGTTCTGACCATAACATTGAGCCTATATCACTGACAAGTTTTAAAATATGAAAAAAATATATATAGTTTGATCTGGCACTCGCACTAATAGCCTTATGTGTAGACACTGTTTTTAGACAAGAGAGAACATTTCAGGCTATGAATAAATACTTTGGTTTAGCCAGTTGCGTAAATCATATATAGCTCCCCATAAAAGACATTGTATAAAAGAATACATTTTACACAACAAGAAAAAAAAATCTCTCTATCCTGTCCGCAGAGACTAATGTAAAAAGGTTGTATTCAAGGCCTACATTAAAGTCTATAAGATCATATTGATAAAAGTGAATGTGTCTTCCGGTGCCTTAAACGATTTTATCTGTTGCTTTAGTCTAAAACAAAAGTGAATACAGGCCCAAGCGTGCATTACAAAAAAGACATCTTTAAATATTCTGTGAAAAGGGTTTGTGTGTCTTTAGGCACCTGCTCCTTCTATTAAAACACGTTTACTGTCACCAGACGTCCTGTTGTTTTGACAGAAGGGGCACTTGCCTGAGAGCCCCGCACACCCCGCCCTCTGTCTGCGGGACCTGTCTGTGCGCTTGGCTTCTATGAAATCTGTTGACAACAAGGTCGTTCTGGTGCGTGCCCAAACTTTCCATGTGTTTCTTCTCCGTCTTCTCCTAACACCTACAACGTATATTCCCAAAAGCCCGTTATTATCTGGTATTAATAGATTCAGCCCCAGGAAGACAAAATCAGCTATTGATAATTGCAAGGAGTATACGGCAGCAACTCTATCGATCGGCGTGTCCTCCACTCCCCTGCTGCTGGGAGATAAGGAGACACAGTCTTTAAAGCAATATAATTTCTTTTGACCTATCTGCTTGCTACAGACTTATGATGAATAGCCAGAGTGGCTCAAGTCCTTTATCACCAAAGTTACCCCCTTGATATAATATTGATTCTTTATAACTAGCTTGCCACACAAAAATCAAACTGTCCACTTGGCCATCATCATCATCAATATCATCACAAAGGCGGGGAGCAATGGAGAACCAAGCTTTGAAAAGAAGAAGAAGAGGGATTTTACAATCTTCTCCAGTAAGTCTAATCTTTATTTTGCTGATGATGAAAAGAGAAAAAAGGGGCATGAGGCTCAGTGCCAGAGTGTTTAAGGAGAGGTGCCTTTAATTCTATGACGTTTAGATGCATGATATAGTGGTAGGGTTTTATGTCACGAGATAGAAATGTAAAGTGTGACCAGGATGTAAAAACAGGCAGATGAGTTATGATCTAAAATCTAGATAGTTGTCAAATATGTCCAAATCAATAAACATGTTTGAAACTCTAAAGTCATGTAACTGTTGTTTGTTGGAGAAGGCCTTCTTTGAAGTTCAAGAAAAATAAAAACATGCCCATTTGGTTAACCTTTTATGCAGTCTGAGTAATGCAGTGCTTGAACAGGGCTGTAGTGACTAAAGGGGAGCAGAGCTGCAGCAGCTGGGAGCAGAGGGGGAGGAGGAGGGGGAGGAAGAGAGGAAGGAGAGGACAGAAAACGTGTAATCCCCAAACAGCCCTTTGGACCTGGTTCCGCGGCGCGTAAAGGGGTAAAGCGGCTTGACTGCGCTGCAGCTTGATCTCTCTCCTCTTCTCTCTCACTGCAGCGGCTTCGTGGCTCACGGATCCCGGCGATAAAGGCCGAACACAGACAAGACGCACAAGGTAAATGCTGCAGCGCTTTATTCCATCTGTGCTTTTTCTTACGATGCTGCGTTTGTTAATGAGGGATGAGTGCGCTGTGCTGAGAATGGGGCCTAGTGTCAGAGCTGTAGATATGAGTGCACGATGCAGTTTGTATAAATGCCTCGTGAGTCAGCGGCCAATCAGACGTGTTTGCGCAACTGGTGCGCGCGTGCATGTGCGCGTGCACAGATAGCGCGGTGCCATAGGCTCTGGTCTGCACCAATCACAGCTGGGAGGCAACTTTATGTAGAGATACTGTATTTTTTATATGAAATGCGTGACGCGTTTTGTGAGGGAAATATTCAGATTTGGTATGTTTGGTATGTTTGCATATTAAAATATTAATTCCTTCTCTATTTCATATTGTGTTCTGTTACTTGTTTTAACAATGTATTCAAGATTAGTTTGAAGCCACATTGCTTGAGCTTGTGAACTTTTACAGTGGATGTAGAGTGAAAATACGTTATCGCCTTATGCCTCTTAGCTCAGGGTACACACTGAGTGTACACACATACCTACACACTTACTTGAGGGACTCTATTTTCTTAAGCCATTTTTATGTCTGTTTTCAGAGTGGGGGCATATGACATGTAATTCTGATTGCACTTTGTGATCAGCTTGTCTTCCACTGGATGAGTGTGATATATGACTTAACTGAAATGAATGCAATTTAATGTGACTGGTCAATCAAGACTCATCTAAATGAATTAAAAAAATAATTCCTTCAGCTATAGCTTAATTGAATCAGTGATGAGAGTGTAATTGAGTTAGTGCTCAGAGTAGATGACAAGTTCCTCTTTGCAATCTCAAGAAGATATGTGTAAAATTCAGGGTACACAAAAAAATGACATAAAGTTTAGTTTAGAGTTAGTTTGTACTTGACATCAGAACAATATAAAGCACAGACACTCTCAGATCATTCCTGCAGCTCTGACCTTGGACAGATAGTAGCCATTAGTGTCTATAATGTACACGGAAGATGATAAATAATGCACCACTAATGAATCAAACATCAATTTAGATGTTTCTAATGTGTATGATATTAAAAAGGCAATTTTATTGCAGTAAAGTCTCACTGAAATAATATAAAAGTAGAAAACATTTAGAGAACACTAAAGACTCCTATAAACACCTATATATATGGTTCAATTCATTGATAATGTAATTCAATTACAGACATTAAGTCAAATATTAGAAGAAATACAGTAAATAGAGTTGAATATTTTTGAATGTTATATAACAAATAACAGGCCATTATTACAACTTAAACGTATACAGCTACCGTTTTATACTAGACAACTAAAAACCTCGATGTATGTACCAAAAAGAAGAGGTCTGAAACAGTTATGACAGTGTAGACATTTGAGCAGAATACAAAAGCTCAGAGTTGGTGCAGCTGTTGAAAGAGGGACCAGACCAGTGTGTGCCATCGAGTCTGTTCAATAGAAGCCTCTGAATATTTAAACAGCATCAGTTACTTTTTACTGTCGTTGTTTTGGCACCATTGGCCTTGCTTAATCCTGGTAAGTGCAGATCTCCACTGTCTTCCACTGCAGCGGGGACACATGTCTGCAGGTGTATGTGTCAGGACAATGGGAACAGATGAATTGATTATTAGAGAAGACATTAACCAGAGAAAAAGAGTATTTGTTTGTGATTATTCCTCCATATGTTAAAGAGTTACTTTTTGTAATCACTGTGGTTATCTACTTCAGCAGACCTCTCTTTATCTCCATCTAAATAATGTCTCCCCTCTGAAGTTACGATGCCCTATAACACAGACATATTTAACCTGCTAATGAGCTACATTACTTTACCGCCTCGTCAGCAGAAGGGATGCACCATTTTGGCACAATATCTAGTTGAGATCTTTCAGAACAACGTTGCGATTGTGATGCTATTTTCAACATCCTGCAGGTTTAAAAAGTCTCATTTTAAAAGTAGAGTGATAAGAACTTAGTATAGTATATAGAGTTCTGACCTATATATAGTACAACTTTCCTCTATTGTAGGAATACAAGAAGGAAATGTTAAATCTTAAATCATTTTCTCAAGTTTTTTTGGTTTGACATTTGGAACAAGATGAAAGATACTTTATTTTATATATAT